GGGGCAGGCAGGGATGAGGGCAGGGGGGCACAGCGAGGTGGCTGGCAGGAGGCAGTGACCTGACCCTGGCTCTAATGCCTTCCCAGCAGGGAAGCTGCTTACAGGGACATGACCCGGGTGGCTTAAGTGACCTCCCTTAACCCTCCCCTTGCACTGCAAGGACACGACACACCCGCTGTGGTGGGCACAGACCCCCCCCCGGGGTGAGGGGGGGGGGGGGGGCACAGCCTGGCACCCCAGGAGGGGGGACAAGGGCCAAGCAAGCTCAGGTCAGGCAGGGAAAGGCTGGGCTGCTGCCAGCCTGGGGAGATTAGGGCTCTGCTGACTGCAGCCTGGCACAGGCCCCCGAGCTGACACAGCCAGGATCAGCCCCAGGGGACACACACACACACACACACACAAGCTGTGCCACCCCCACAGCTTTTGTCCCTTCCTTGTCTCTCTCTCTCTCTCCAGGGAAAATACTTGCCAAAGCAAGGGCTGGGAGGAGGGACTCCTGGTTCCTTTCCCAGCTCTACCTTAGAAGTCGTTTGGGCTCGTGCCTCAGTTTCCCCACGCTGGGACACAGAGGGGTCTCCATTGAGCTCCCACCCTGGGGACAGAGGATGCTCAAGCTCTGAGGCTGCTGCCAGCTCGCCCACAACACGTCCCCCGCCAGTCCTGGGGCCTCAGGGCTGTGACCATCCTGGGGTCACCCCAGCACCCAGCCTGGACCCCCAGCACCGTTCCCAGGGCAGCCTCCCCAGGCTGTATCCTTGGAGGAACTTCACTTCCTAAGAGGATTGAGGGGGATTATGGGCAGCCCCCTGGCCCTGGCACTGTCCCTACCCAGCCTTCCCTCTCCTCTGCTTTAAGTAATCATCTCTGAGACAGTTTTACGTGGTTAATCCAACCACCTCCACCTAATCTGTTCCAAGACCCCTTCCTGCCCCGGGTTGCCCCCCTGTCAGAGCCCATGGGGGAGATGATTTCCTCCCCTGGGGGGGCTGCAGGCAGGGGCAGATGTTCTCCTTGCCCTGGGAAGACCCCCTGAAGGCAGAAAGAGTTGGCCTGAGGGGTGAGGGCAGGAAGGGTTTGGAGTGAGGGGACTGATGCCAGAGAGGAGGGCACCAGGGGACAGGAGGAGCATTGTCACCTTGTGCCTCTCCATGGGGGTTTTGTGTCCCACCTTCTCCAACTGGGCAGGGGACACATCCTCAGGGGGAAGGGTGAAAAGCAGCAGAGACCCCTGGCAGGGAGAAGAAGGCAGCTGCCCATGGGCCATCAGGACAAGCCAGGGCTGAGGGGCAGGATGGGGACAGCTGGGTGTGCCAG